CTAAAACTGCTGGAATGCCTGCTTCTTCAGCTCCTCCGCAATGCTGGACGGGGCCACGGCGCTACGTCCTCTCATCGTCATCCCCAAGCCGAGGGAGCCCAGCAGTGTCTTGAGGAGAAAGGTTCTTTTGTGCTTGGGGCTTTGGGCCTCGTGTGGGTAGCTCTCTAAATCAAGGGCTCTTTTTTGGGTCCGTTTTTTTTAAATAGAGGGTGCCGTAGTATATTGGGACCCAAAAGAAGGCCCTACTTTAGAGAACTACCCAAGTGCTGATTTGAGGCTTAGGTTCTCCAGCGCCGAAGGCCCTGGCTTTGCTTCTGACGAAACCCGAAGCCCCAAACCCCAAAACCCTAGCTTCAGGGCTTGGGGTTTTGAGCCCTAAGCCCTAAACACTACAAGACTTGTGTGTCCCTGTCTGAGGACAGACTCTGACTCTAAAGGCGAAGGTTCCGAGTTTAGGGTTTGGAGTTCCGACCTTGGGTGCAGTTTGGAGGATTTCTTGGCTCTTCAGTAACCCCCTGAAAAAAAGTATATACTTTTTAAGGTTAAGGTTAGTTGAAATATACTAGGAACCCAGGAACCCAGAAAGTAAAAAAGTAGGCTACTGAGCAGCCTAGATTTAGCCTCCTTGGATCTTCCTTGAATCGCAAGGCCGTAAGCTAAGTTCAGGAGCCCTAACCCTCGCCCGGAATTCCCTAAACAACTTTCTGAAGCTCCGAGGCCCGGGCCTGTAGGGTTTACGGTTTAGGATTTAGGGTTAAGGGTAGAGGGTACAGGGTTTAGGGCACAGGGTTTGGGGTCTACCCAGCAGTCCTTTGTTGGCAATTTGGAACCTCGGTGGGTGCAAGTATGGAAGAGGTGGCTTCGGGCGTAGGACAGGACTTATGGCGGAAGGCGTGGGGAGTTAAATGCTTGCTATGGGGGCCAAGTACACGGCTTATCATCCAAGTGTGCTTAGGGTTTTGCGTGGCTTCCCGGAACCCAAAACGCAAAACCCTAAACCCCTTTGGCGTGCAGGCTTCTCTTGCCTTTCTGTTGGGCCCCGTGAAATTCACCAAGGCACGGAACTATGGAAGACATGCAATCTTGGCCCCGAAGCCGTGAATCCCAAACTGCCCGTCCCCCAAGGCCTAGGTGAAAGGGCGTAATGAGGTTTTGCGATACAGGAAGATTAAACAAATCATCATGCTGCAATGAAGATTGTGCTGCCTACTCGGTATATCGGAATTCCTAAGCCCATGAAGAGTTGAGCTCAGGGAAAGCCGGGAACTGCAAGGGTTTAGGGTTCAGGGTTTTAGGGTTTAGGATGTCAGGAGTAGGGTGTAAGGGGTTTAGGCATATACTCCTAACCGCTCGCGGCTTGTTCAGACTGGAGAAGCTTGGGATCTGTCACATGCTTTTCGTGAGCTCCCTACTGTGTTCAAGCCCGAAACCCCAAACACACTTGTGAAACCCGTACCAGCCCCTGGAAAACCTGATCCAACGCTGGCGAAGCCCCTCTACAACCCTAGACCCTAAACTCGCCAGGCCCTAAAGCCCTAAACCCTGGACCCTCACGCCACGCAACGTGACGATACCACCGCCCGAGTTCGACTGAAGCCGTCGGCCCTCTCGGAAGAGGCGTCTTCCGGTCGATCCGGTGCTGCCGGTCTTCAGGGACATGGAAGTCCCGATCCTCGGAAGGGTTTGGTTGATAATAGTATTGAAATTAATAATAGTAACAATAATAAAAAATAACTGCTATCATTATAGTACTATTCTCGTAAGAGTAGCAGCGATAATAACTGCCCGTAGATACGAGGCAGGAATGAGACACCACTCGGACTTAACCCTTCGTTTTCCCAGCAAGCGACAAAGAAAACCTGCCAACTATACAAGTGCACTAACGGACTAGATGTACAGAGAATGTCCAGCACTATGGCATATCGTAGTCTGGGAACCTGGACAAAGCCTTTCCGCTCCCTACTTCTTTCAGCCACCATGGCTTCAGATAGCACCTCACATCATCACTCACCATACACGACTCTCACTCCCCCAATGGAAGCGTCCATTCCTTCGAGTCGTGATGATCTGTCTGAGCCTTTCAGGAGTCACCATCTGCAACATCTGCACAGTTTCCGGAAGTCGAGTTCCTCGCCCTTGTCCAAGCACGGACACTCCCTCGACCCATGCATGTATCGTCCAGACTTGGTAAAATAGAGCACACGATCAGCGGAAGATCCCTCCACCTTTCGAGATGGCAAAACCCCCGGTTCTAGGCAAAACCGACATAGGCTCCTGACGATTGGTGCACCTGAACACCTCATTGGCTGACACTCAGATCCGCTGTGGACGCATCCTCCATTCTGAGTCAAATACACCAGAGGTGGTGCAGCATCCGACTTACAGCTCAAGATGATGCTCTGCTTTGTGCCACGAGGTCGTGGAAACCTGTCAACCGGGAACCCTGAACCTGAATCTCTAAACCCAATCTGAAATCTACGTTCTCCGATAAGCCCTTCATCAGCGCGCATGCTTGCATCCAGTCGGCTCACTGGTTTCTCGGCCTTAGGGGGTTCCTGGCCTAAACCCCAAAGCTCTACGGGTCTCCTGGGCTGCTCGGCTAACGACTTGCTACCTGGGTGGGGTCCTAAACCACAAGGTCCTACTGGGCTTCTGGAATGCTCACCTGCCGATGCGCTGCTCGAACTGAGTGCTAACTCGCGCGGTCCTACAGGGGTTTTGGAATGCTCACCTGCCGATGCGCTGCTCGAATTGGGTCCTAACTCGCACGGTCCTACAGGGGTTTTGGAATGCTTCCCTGACGATGCGCTGCTTGAACTGGGTCCTAACTCACAAGGTCCTACAGGGTATTTGGAATGCTTCCGGCTTGATACCCCCGGGCTAGGTCCTAAACCGCAAACTTCAACTGGGCTCTTCGGCTGTTGCATGGACAAACTACCTCGCCCCAACGACGCCTCAGACTCACCAGCCAGTGCAGCCTTAACCTCAGACCCCCTATTCCTCAAGCCTGTTCCAACCTCATCCTCTTCAAGAGTCAAGCTCAACCGCTCACCTCCAATCGTAACATTAACAACCGGAGATAAGGAAATAGACCCAACCCTGTCAGAGCTATCCCTCCCCTGATCTTGCACTTCACGAGCCCCCTGAGACTCCCGAAGAACCTCAGCACCAACCCTGCGATTCCAGCATCTCCAGCAAGCACATGTCAGCAGCATACCGACAACCATACTGACAAACACCACAAGTCCAAGCACGACCCACAGCTCTACTGATCCCTCGCTCGCCTCCTCAAAGTTCTGAGCACGCCCTTGCCCCCCGGTAACTGATGCCGCCAAGATCACAGCAGTCACGCTCCTAGCAGCACTTGCTCCCCCGGAACCAACACTCCCTTGTGACCGAACACTAGACCCGGTTCCAAAGCCGCGCGCCCCCTCAATATCACCAGATGCGGTGCTCACATCCTCATCCGAAGACATCTCACTCTGATCACTTTCAACCCCCTCATCACGATTCACCACCAAATACGGTTGAGGACCTGGATCATCATCCTCAGCCAACATTCCAGCTTCAGTGGGATAACCTGGCGGACGAGGAACCGTTGGAGCCCTAGGCGACCCAATCAACGCAACAACATCAGCGTAATTGACAGGGTACTGCAATCCTTCAGGAATGTCTTCAGCATGCTCATATGCACTTCTCAAATCAGCGTAATACATGTCTCTGATGTCTTCGTACGTCATTCCCTGCAGGGAATCATGCTCCCCCGGGCGTGCGTCCTCATCACCAGAGACCAATCTCTCTGGAGAACCCAACTCCTGGCTTTCCCTAGCCTCATGTCCTGATGAGGCTGGACCCTGGAGAACACGCTGCCCAAATGGATACGCTTCTTCTGTTGACACAGTCACGGACCTACATCTACTCCTAGAACTCAGCAACAGCCAGCACACAACTCTACCCAAGCTTGTAGCAACCCACATTCCAGACCCAATTCCGAAACCCAAGACGAACCCAAGAATCAAAGTTTCACACATCGAGCCCTCAATCCGAAGCTCCCAAGCTTTAGCCCCATGAATCTGCACCAACATAAGCAAAGCCAGCAACGTCGAGGCAAACCCTGAAGGGCCTGAACTCAGAGCCGCAACGCTGGGCCTCGGAGGTTCTTTGTTTACATCAAGATGAGGCGTCCACAAGTCACACACCTTCAGAAGGTCTTCAAGCCTCGCCGGTCCAACGGGTTTTGTCCCCAGATCAGCAGGCATATAAACCCCTTCCAAATGTGCTAATGCCCACACATCTCTCTCAAGGTCCTGTCTGATGATCGCCCCCCTTAACCTAAGATGGCGTGTGCGCCACGACCCAGATTCCAAGGTGCATAACTGAACCGCCGCCGCATTGTCACAATACAAATGACATGCAAGACTATGCTCCGAGACATTCATCAGTGCAGCCACAGTGGGCCTAAACGCCTTTCCCATCAAATGTCCCTCCGCAAGAGAGTACAACTCACTTTCCGCGGTATGCGCCGCAATCAGCGTCTGACGAGCTGAGGCCCACGACACCAAAGCTCCTCCCCAATACAGGTGGACAGACCCAAAACTTCTGCACTGCTCATCTGCAGCAAAAGAAGCATCCGTATAAACATCTAGCGTCGTACTGGTCTGCTGATGTCTCAGCTGACCCCATTTTCCGCAGTTGCCATCCGCAATCTTGTAATGGAGACTGACACCAGGAGCACCCCTCAGGTATCTTACCAAATGCTCAGCTCGAGCTACAGCCTCGCGCAGGCTGGAAGCAATCTTCTGCGCTGCCATGCTAACCGCATACGCCAGATCAGGCCTGGTTCGACCCGCGAGCCACAACAGCTGACCAATCAAACCTTGGGATCTCTTAGTCAACTCACGCCGTTCGGCATCATCTGTGGTATCTTCAAAAACTCCCATCTTGACAGCAGGAGCTCTCTCTTCACCCGTAATAAGCTCTTCATTCTGCTCGAGAAGATCCTGGACGTAGCTTTCTTGATGTAACCGGATACCTCTGACGTCTTCTGAAGCTCGTAACCTGCAAATTTCATCTGATCCCCAGTGGTTGCCAGCCACTCGGGTGGAGACAACTCCCATTGATCCTGTAGGGCCTTAATGACAGCTTCGCAGATAGGACGAGCAGCTCCTATCAACACATCATCAACATAAAGAGCTATAACTCCAACACGCTGACCTTCGTTCGAGTCCTCGCTTCCACTTTCACTTGGAAACCTGACGATGTGAAGCAGGTTCGCGTCTTCCAACATCTTTGACAACCGCAGCTCACCGCCCTCGCAAGGAATTCGAAGTCCAGCTAGAACCTTGTCCCTGTAATTGGACCAGGACCTTGGAGCAGAAGCTAATCCGTAGAGCGCTTTCTGGACTTTCCAAAACCTACAGGTAGTCACACCTGTCTCTCGCAGAATAGAAGGCACTCGCACTATGGTCACCAAACGTCGGCCATCCCTCTGCTGCTCGAGCAACGGTGCTTGTAGGAATGCCGTTCGCACATCCACAGACCCGAGCACCCACTCAGGTTGAAGTGCACATCTACGGATCATCAGCCGGAGCGATTCCGCCCCAGCCCCGCTCGCATAGAGCTCATTCCGCTCGCCGCTTCCGCCCTGGCAATAATTGCCGCACCCAACGATGCGAGATTTTCGCCTTCCTGACGTTTTATGGACGTATACTAGTTTTCTAGGGATAACTTCCAAAGTAACCCCCGGGTCCTCAAGCAGCTGTTTGTATTGGCCATCCGAAAGCTCCTGTACAGCTCCTGTTCTGGATACTAGGGATTGATACTCTTCTGTCATCGAGGGAATCCACTTACCCGGCTCTCTGCGCACCTGATCAGCTCCAATGATTTTTGTTTGGAGTGGAGGCGGGTCCGACTCATCGGTCAAAGCAGGCTCGCTCGGCCCCTTTTGTGCCGGATCCTCGAACTCCTCTGGATTAACCTCTTCCGCTACAGACAGACTCCTAAGAACTGCTGGACAAGCAGTCTTGAGCAAACTGTCTTCAACCTCCCGAAGCTCGTTCCCATGACGCTCCAAACCCTTCAGAGCATCCCAGGATAGCTGATCACACCTCGAAGTAGTAGCCTCCTCCCCTTCCTCCAGGCCTTGCAACAAAACCCGAAGCTCGTGGTGTTGCCTCGCCAAGCAATCAATGGCCCTTGACACATCCGCATGCATAGGCCAATCGACTCCATACAGCTCAAACTGCTCCGAATCATCCTGTGCAATGGATTCACAAGGTTCCAAGCCACAAACCTGCGGGGGAACTCTAAAGTTACTCAACGCATCATGCTTACTGTTGCACACCGTGCCCACATCCTCAGGCTCCAGTGATCCCCGACCTTCATCAACATCCTCAAGACGCTTCTGAAGTTTTCGCAACTCCAAGGACCAACACCTCAGAGCTACCGAGCGCGGGCAACAACTGGGAAACTCCTCAGAGACAGTGGCCTTCCTACATCGAGAAGTGCAGATCTCAATCCCCTTTTCCGCAAGTAGATCCCGACTGTCACCCACCTTGAGGCCTCCACCAGGAATTTCGAAACCCCCCACAGAACTCGCCCTATCACTCAACCCCAAAGCACAGAGCCTAGGACCCCGACCGGACTCGACATGGCTACTCTTCGGACCTTGCCCTTCCAAAATAACCATATCCAAGAACTCCTGACTCTTTTCAGAATTTTTATCCTTCTCAAGATGCCCCACCCCCTCCCCGACTGCATCCGGGCAGTTGGGGTCCCGCAGCTTGAAGGATGAACTGCCGGTCCACATTTGTCCACTGGCTTTACCCCTACCCTGGCGCCACATATGCATGGATCTGACAGGCGATCCAGCACCAAACTGCTGCACACAATACCTGACATCTCCAAACCGGCTCAAGGGTACCGGCAACCATTCCTTGCTTGAAGGGCTAAACAGCAGCTTACGAGGAACAGGGTGAAACCGAGTCAAGACTTGCGACCCCGAACCATAGCTCCAATACTCATCTCTCGTCGCCGGAAGCAAAGTGAAGCCCGTCTCCCACAGCAGCTGTCTATCGGCCTCTGAAAGCTTATGCAGACTTCTAGGCGTATACCCAATCAGCAACAGTTGCTGACCCTGCGCCTGCACAGACTCATGCCAAAGATCAGGCTGAAAACACACTGCTTCATGAGCCCGATACGTATGGTTTCTCCCGTAAACAATCTTTCCTTCGGATACTTGTCTGGAAACTGCCTCTGATTGCGATTGGCATAGACCGCGATCCTGAATCCATACACCTCCCCCAGAAGTAACCACCGGAAGAACAACATTTGACACCCCCTTAAGGTTATGCACATCTTTGTGCAAGCCATGCTCTGTGTTGAGAATCAACCCAACACCTGCAAAGAGATTGTCTGTGTATCTGCTCAAATATGCAGTGAGATAACGAGTTACCCACTGATGATCTCGCGTGCTTGTTCTCACTCCGGTCATCCCGCCATGCGTGAACGCACCCGTCAGGAAATTGCATGTCCTCATTGATTTGCTGTCAGCACCCGCCGTTGGCTGATTGATCCTTCTTTCACTCTGCTGAGACATCTTGGATACCTCAACTGCCAACTCAGCCAGATCCTTAGGCTGAAAACGATCAGCCTTGTAGAGCACCTGCGCCAACTTGTCAGCTGGATGCATCGGCTCTGCCACCTTATCATGCCCCAACAGCTTCAACGAAGTCTTCCCCGACACCCGATGATCAGGAGCATCCAGATCCACCGCTGCACCTAGAGTAGTGAATGATACCTTCCCATGATCGATCGATGGAAACAGCTTTCCAGTTGTCAGAAGCTTCCCCTCTTCCGTAGCAACAACCCACCCCCTAGACATGTCTGCCGATGGACATTTTACAAACGCATCAGTGGTTCTCGCATCCCAAGTCTCACGTTTCCAGCTTCTACTGACTACTTGTACCCTGGTATCAAAGGGAAGCGACTCCTGAACAGGAATGTTGAGCCTCCTTCTTGCCGCGTTCTTCAACTCATGAGCAGCCAGCTTGGCCGCCAATGGCCAGTCAGCTTTACTTGACCCTGCCTCCTGAAGGATGGTCCCGGTTTTACTCTTCACCCTCAATATAGCCCCTTCAGCCCTGCCATTTCCCTGATGTTCTTCCGCCACAGCAAGTGTTTTATGCACCGCATGTCTCGCACACCAATCGCGAAGGGACTTATTGTTGTATTCGCGACCGCGATCCGAATGCAACCTCCTCACATCGAATCCCTCAGCCTTAGCCCGCGCATGCATACGCCCTATAGCAGTGAGAACCTCCTGATGAGACTTCCGTTCGATGGCTTCGACATACACAAAGTCGACGATTTCCACCCTAGGCAGTACCTCAGACTGTGCATCTCGAATCCAGTCGTCGCGACTGGATTTCACCAGCTTCTCCCACTCATTCCATGAAGCTCGTGCATCAGACAGCTCCTTGGCAGTCATATCGTCATCCTTCTCTTCCATCTTTGAAAGATCATCCATCAGCCACTCGGCATCATCAATCACTCCCCCCTCAAGAGGAACGGCAACTGGGTCAGCATCGGCTGGCTCGTCCACCTTTAGACCTTCCACAGCCAGCACAGGAACCGACAACACCCCAACAACCAGATACTTGGCCTTAGGAGTGTGCTCATCTCTGCCCCTTGCAAAAGGCCCTGCTGTATCCACTGACAAACACCATGATTGAGGAGTTAACACCCGACGATGCTGCTTTCGCTTGGCCGAACCCCTGAGGCAAGTCGCACAATCGGACCGATATGGCATATGATTCTGCTTAAGATGATGAATGAACCCAGAGTCCAACTTTCTCACCTTACTCCCCATCATGATACTTCGCATCTGATAAAAGGCCTGGTTCAACATGCTGTTCACCGCTTGAATGAACCCCGGGGCCCACTCGCACCACTGTACGGTCCTTGTTCCAAACTCCCTGTGAGGAACGTACGCCACAGCTTCAGGTGACACGCTGCACTCCACAAGTGCAACATCTGGTAGCAAATTAGAACCAATACACGTGGGACGACGCTTCTGATGACCCATAGGACCCTGAAAGAACCTAAAAGTTGTCATCCCAGTCCTCTTCTCTAGATCCTTCCACTCTGGTGTAGACCACAATGAAACATACCCTGCATCTTCGACGCAATCCTTGCGCAGCTCATCCTCAACACACGGATTTTCTACCAAACAAGCTGGATCCGGGACCCCAATCGCTCGATTGGACTCGACTGCAAAAGATATCAAGGTAAGAAATGTCAACAGCATCACATCATCCGTGTTCCTCTGAGCCTTCTCCTGACAGGTTAAGTCCTTGATGCCACAAGCTCCAATGCTGTCGCCCAGAAGTCGAATAGGTCTTGGACCTTGACCAGTAGTTTCATGCAGGTGCCTTGCAATGGAGAAAGTCCGACACGGAGGACCACCAACCACCGCCCTCAGTCTTCCATCCCTTGCCTGCTGCAACAGAAACTTGTAGGTGCTGTCACACAAGATATCTTCAGCAACATCCACCGACAAATGGGCAAAATCCCATCTATGTGCAATGTTCTCAAATGCCCTCCTGGCATTCCCACAAAACAAATGCACTACCACCCCTTGTGCTCTCGAACACCTCCGGCGTGTCCTTCGGTTCCAGGTGTGATTCTCTTCCAACGACTCTTGCAACGACACGATGCATTGATCCAGAACCCCAGCACTGGCTTCAGGGTACAACCTGCTCACATACACACTGAAGGCAGCATCCGCTTGCGAGTCCCCCTTCTTTATAAGCTCAAGGAGTTCACCAGTGCCGCGATCCCTCAGATCATCAATCATAGACTGAAGTCGAGCCACACGCTGATCCTGCCGACCTACGTACAACTCGTATTCTCTAATGAGATCCAACGCGACTCCCTCATCCACCTCTGGACATCCCGATGAAGTGTCAACTTCCAAATCCCCGAACTTGGGGTGGAATACCCGGCACCTGGTGGCATTCCAATCCATCCTGTAACCCAGCTTCAGCAACGCCTTCATCGAAATAATCGGCGAAACTGAGATCTGCCTAAGAAGCGTCCCATGCTCGTTGATAAACATGTCACAGCTACCGCAAGCCAACTTTACCGGGATTTTGGGAAGATTGTACTCATCCGGCAGCGCGGTTCTCATACAGGAAGTTGCCCCCCCGTCTATCAGTCCACGATTTCCATTTTCTCCGACCTTACTGAGGATCTCTGTTGCACTTTGCAGATCACTCTTCACTGCTGCGAGGCGAAGACTCTGAAGAATCTGTGCAGCTTCACGAATAGCTGCCTCCGAAACATTGGTCGTTGAACTCTGACCCTTCGGCTGACCCTTGGGATTCTGACCAACATTCGTCTTCGGAGGCTTGGCTTCCCCACCCTTGGGTTTACCCTTCTTGCCCTTGGTTCCACCGTCTTCCCCGGTATCCCCAACCGCATTCGGATCCTTGGGTGCCTTGCCCCCTCCTGGCGCTTTGCAATCAGCTTTCTGGTGCATCCCTCCACATACCCAGCATCCACCAGGTCTCTCTGGAGCATGCTTCAAGCTACACTGCTTGCCATTAGGACATCCAGCATCGGTGGACCACGCCGAGCACAACTTGACAGGATCTCCTTTCCCTCCCCGTCCAGTCCCGGCCCCCTGTTGGCCACCCGCATCACCATTTTTTCCACCCTTGGGACCCTTTCCGTTTCCTTTATCCCCTGAGTCCTGACCCACAGCAGCAACTCGTTGCCTCTTATTTCCCCCATCAGGAACAGAAACTACCAAAAGCTCCATTTCAGCTAGAAGATTCCTCGTGTACTCCTCTACTGACTCCAACGTAGGAGAAGTATCAAGCTGCAGCTGCATGCGAACGCTGTGTATCCTGAACTGCAAGCTGGGATTCGCCTGAAGAAGAGCCTTCATACACTTATCAACCGCATCCAGAAGCAAGCCACTGTCAGGAACGCTGATTTCCATTGACCTGGCGCGTTCCAGATGCCTAAACCACTTCTGCAAAACCGTCACGGCTGATACAGCAGTATCACATGGCTGAAGACCCGTAAGGCCCTTGAGAAGCTCGGACCTCTCTGTCAGGCCCCCTGGTTGGAACATTCGCATCGTGAAGAACAGTAGGCACGTACAAGTCACACTCCTGCAACTCAGCGCTTGCTCATACAACGCACCGGGCAAAGCCTTTGTCAGCATGGCCACACCTCTGGCTTCAATCCTCACGAAACGCTCGCTCAAAAGCAACTGGCTAGGTTTTCCAATCAGCTTTGACCTTTCCAAACCACTTATCATACTCGGCCCTAGCCTCCTGGAGCACCCTCTGCCACCATTCGTGGCCTCTAGGAGCCAGATCATTAAAGAAAGGAGTAACCCGATGAATCCAATCGCTAAACCGCATAGCCGGATTAGGTTCCGAGACAACATCCAAAACAGGCAACTCACAGAGCGTGCGTTCGCCTGGTCTGAAGTCCTTCAACTCACCTTCATCAAGACCCTGAACGACCTCCTCAACACTACCAAGCCCCTCTACAACTGGGCTACTCGGAGGAGGGCCAACTGGCACTCGAGTCCCACCTGGAGTGGCCGGCGATGCACCTACACAGCTAACCCTAGGAGGATTGACCCTAGGCGGACTAGGGTTAGGAGACCTGGTGAACCTTCTCGGATACCCAGACCTATACCCAGTGGGAGACCTACTAGCAACCCGCAAACCCCCGTCGTGCTCGGCAGGAGGTGGCGGCGGTGGCACAGGTGACGCACTGCACACTTGACCACTCGTCGCAGTTCCATGCACAACAGCTGGGCTTGACCGAAACGGTGATGAAGCTTGAACACTAAACGGATTTGTGCTGTTTCCTTTTGCCCTCGCTTCAGGGCTCTTCGCACCTACCCGAACATCGTTTCTAGGCGGAGGAGGAGGTGGGGGATCCGGGGTAAGATACTGCTCACTCGAGTCGTCTTGCAAAGCATAGAACTTCGGCTGCTCAGCAACAAGGACTATCTCACCCTTATCATTATAAATCCCTTCTCGAACACACCCATTAATCACAACCTTAACGACTGTTCCAGCAACGCTCCGTGAGCCTGCCTGCTCCCCGCAAGGCCTCGCAGGAACTCCACCCGCGCTTGAGCCCCCTCTCACCTCTTGGCCCTCAGTCAGAGCCTTAAGTGGGGGTATACCCACAGACTGAGCTTGGAGAGTCCCCTCCTTCGGGAATGCACTCGGCCTTTGAACAGACCTGTTGCCATTGAGAACAGCGTCACTCGGGGATATACCCGACAGCTGCGACGGCCTACTGCTACTAGGATCAGCTTCGATCAGGGATATACCCGACAGCTGAGAAGGCCTAGCGCCACCTTCCCCTTCAGTCTTCAGGAATACACCTGACTGCCTGCCAGGTGGCCATGCCTCTGCTGGGGATACACCCGGCTGCTTGCCACCTGGTCTTTCGCCAATCGGGAATACACCCGTCTGCTGCTGCACCAGCTGAGCGCTTGCAAGCTCGCGGCCTACTGCATGCTCTTCAAACCCATAGTCCTGTAACGACATTGCTTGCATCGCTCTGGTGGCTGCCAGGATCCTGTCACCTGGACCCGGCTGAGGCATTCCTGGCATCTCTGCATCAGACGAAGGTGCAAATCTTGTCCACGGAGGCTGAAAAGTTCGGTAGCTAGTGTTATCAGTAACCGTAGCGCTACCTACACCCTTACCAGTCTTACTACCAGGTTCCCAGACATCCTTGCTGCCTCTACCTTCCACTACACCTCCTACTCTACTCTGTACACGAGCTAGCCTGTCTCTCCTGGCCGACTCACTAGAGCTCCTTGAAGCTTGATCAGATAACTCTTGCTTCAGATACTCACTCTGCTGGAATAACTGCTGAACCAAACTTTCCAAAACATCAAGCCGCCCATCACCAGAACTTCCTCGATCCCAGTCAAGCGGGCCCTGACTCTGTCCAGCTGCATGATCAAATCCACCCTGCGCTACAACATCCAGCAGCTGGGCATTCCGACCGCCACGCATTACACCATTCAGCAGCCCTCCAGTCTGAATATCTGCAACCGGTTGGCGAACATCACCTCCCTGATCAACCACAGGTTCCTGACGAAAAGACCCCAAACCATCAAGGGTTCCCTCGTCCCCAGCTTGACCTTGAAGTACGCCTTCGCCACCCTCAACAGACTGAAACTCATACTCTGGCTCCAGCCCATTTGCTGCTTCAAGAATTGCTGCAGCCTCCTGCTCTTGGCTCCGGGCCGCAGTCAACTCTGCATTGGATCCATGTGTCTCAATTCCATCCCCAACATCCACGTTCTGTTGAGATGGATTCTGAACATCTGCAGCACTTCCCATCACAGACTCCCTCTGACGCCCAGAATCAGAGCCCTCAGGAATTGCCGCCCCGCTGCCATAACTCGGTTCCATACTTGAGTCCATGGCACAGAATCTAGCGAAGTCTACACAGGGGGCCGCTTGGGCTCATAACCTGCCCGTAGATACGAGGCAGGAATGAGACACCACTCGGACTTAACCCTTCGTTTTCCCAGCAAGCGACAAAGAAAACCTGCCAACTATACAAGTGCACTAACGGACTAGATGTACAGAGAATGTCCAGCACTATGGCATATCGTAGTCTGGGAACCTGGACAAAGCCTTTCCGCTCCCTACTTCTTTCAGCCACCATGGCTTCAGATAGCACCTCACATCATCACTCACCATACACGACTCTCAATAACAATAATACCAACAATAATAACAGGAATGATACTCATAAAGTTCCAATGTTAGGGTTTATCAACATTTATGGGCCTTACAGGGGGTTTGTAGGGCTTGTAGGGTGTTAGGAGAGCTGCGACTTGTAGGGTTCAAAGGATTTGTCGGGTCTGTAGGGTTTACAAGGCACAGAGGACCTGCCAGGCGTAACAGGGCGTTTATTCGGGGGCTTGTGGCAGTTTGTAGAGTTGGAGGTGATCACCGAAACCTGGCTCCAAACCGCAGATTTTGAAATACAGCCGAATTTCTGAGCTTATGGTTCGAAGCTTCATTTGGGTGGGATCCCATGGGGCAACAATCCCCAGCTGGTCCAGCCATGAAGCCCGTACAGCCTCAACCATGAGCCTCCACACCACTACAAACCAAAGCCTCAACAGTTTTAGAACAGGGTTGGGGGGGGGGATATTATACTAGAACTACAATAAGGAGCCCCAAAACCCTATTCTAGGTATTAAGGCCCCTACAACCCAAACCTCCTGGTCCGAAACGTATCACCAGTGCCAGGGTTGGAGGGTGCTTGTGAAGTGGCCACGGAAGCTAATCTAATTAAATCTTTGAGCTTTCGGTGCATAGAACAAAAACCTATAGTTAATAACCCTAAACTCTAAACACCCTAAACCCTAAACCCCGTAAGCCCTAACCCCAAAAGCCCTATAACCCTAAACCACCACAACAAAAAAATAGAAATAAAAATCGCCTGAAGATCCCGAAACCGAGAGTCCCATCCGGCAGGTAGAGCTCACCGTTGATGGCAATGCGAGCCGTCTCGAGCGATGCCAAGGCGTCGCTACCAGTCCTGGACCGCTTTGGACCGAAATCCCAATCCCTAAAATCTTCGCCCTAAAACCCTAAACCAAAAAACCCTAAACCCTTATAAACCTCACACCTGAAATCTTAACCCTAGGCAGCCCGTTTAAGCCCTAAAGCTCTAAACCCTGAGCCCTGGTCGTTTTCCATGCAGGTGCCGTCGTGTTTTGGGATTCCTCAAAGGGACCCTCTTTTGGAGAAGTAGTCATATGGGTTTAGGGTTTAGGGTTGGGTAGTTCTCTAAATTGGGGTCCCTTTTGGGGTTCCCAGTATAGTCCGGCACCCCTTACTAAGGGAAACAGACGGGGCCCTGTACCTGGTCCTAGAAGAATGTGGGCAGTTCTCTAAATCCCCTTTAGGCACCTTTTTATAAGGGTGCCGCACTATAAGGGAACCAAAAAGGGACTCCAATTTAGGGAGCCACCCATATACAACAACCGTGATACGGAACCCTCAGGGAGAATGTTGGCAACTAATTATTCAGGCTTCTAAGAATAGTTTGCCCTTGTGGGTTTGGGCTTTGCATTGCGACGAGGGCTACTGTAAAGGTTTAGGGTTTAGTGGTTTAGAGGGCTTCGTAGAATTCTAACGGGTTTTCTAAGGGGTCGCCGTCCAGGGCCGAGGGATTCAGGTCTCGGATCTACCATTGAAGCGCTACCCAAGGCTCCCCTGTCTAGAGGTCCTTTTTAAGGATCTACAGTAGTGAACCTAGTCTTCAACATGTCTCAGGTCATCTGATTTTCTGGCACCATGCCCCGGCGGCTCCAAATAGACTGAACTGACCTCGACTGAACTGACGTCTACAAGGTCTTGGAGGGAAGCCCCAAAACCTTAGCTGTGAATCGTCACTAGGGACCCAAAGAAGCACCGAAATAAAACCATAAGGTTGGCAAATCCTACAAGCCCCTGTTGAAGTCAGTAACAAAAGGTAAATATCTCCCACCGACAAGATTGTGTTTGGGTGCTTTTTCGGTTAAGCTACGCTACATTCCATGAGTCCGTCCAAAGATGCTGTGCAAAGGGTGCAGTTGGGGTCACTTTCACATCCGATCGGGCATACAGGGTTTAGGGTTTAGGGAGTCTTGTAGCTCAGGAGCAGGTAGGAGGCAGGCACATTCAAACACTTCAAACCGAATACACAATCCACAAGGCGCAAACCCTAAATCTAAACCCGAAAACCACAACCCAGTGCCCCTAAATCCTGTAATCGAACAGGGCCCTCAATAATCATTGAAACAGGCTTTGTAACTTTCTTATTATTCCGAACCCTAAACCCAAAAACCCCCTAAACCCTACTCTAAGCCCCTTGAGGCGGCGGCGAGCCCAAAGAGAGGAACCTCAGAAGCTCGCCAAGAGCTGCGGCGACATTGCAGGGTCTTCATGTTGAAGGCATCGGTTTTGGGGGAAGGTCGAGGGCTTGGATATTTTCGGTTCGTGTACACGTTGAAAGTTGAAGACTTTTTTCGGGGGTGGGGGGGGGGGGTTTCGAGCTTGGCCTGTTCAAAGGCATTGCAGGTTTAGACGTTGAAGGAGTTTGGGGGTTTAGGGGCTTAGGTTGCTTGAAATGGCACTTCGAGGCAGGCTCCAGCGGTTTAGGTTTAGGATTCAGGATTTGGGGCGCAAGGCTCCTTGGCGAAGGAGGCTCGTGAGCTTAGAGTTTGGCTTAGAATAGAGCTCAGAGCAATAGAGATGTTCGTGCCCAGAAGAAGAACGGCCATAACACCAGTCAGTTCATTGGTGGCGGTGGCGGCTGCAGTTGAATCATGGGTTTCGAGGCGGAAGAAGAGTATAGCGATACGGCGATAGCAATCAAAGCAACACGCTTAAACAACAACAAAAATTAAATTACCAATGAGCCGCACTAGTATTAAACACCTAAGGACCGAAGTACTCGGAACCACCCGATCTGGTCCGTGCCCCAACCCTG